TACTGCTATAATTCATTAATAGCCGAAGTGAAGTTAAATCCAGCACTTCTAGTCAAACAGCTGCACAGTAAATACAGTGGGTATGCCCATACCTGGTTTATCACACAATATCCCGGTCCCGAATTTGTCGCCGGTCCCGAATTTATCTCTTTAAGGGACACGTCACACTCCGATCATCCTGCTAAGCAAGCCACGTGGATACCTCACGAAGGCCTATAAATACTCCCCAAGGGCCACCTCAGAAAGGTAATTGAAATCAACCTTAAGCTCTTTTTATCTCCACCCTAAAGGTAACCCCGATTATTGCTGACTTAAGCATCGGAGTGTCTACCCCGATGACCCACCTCGGGGCTTTGCAGGTACATCCGAAGTGAAGATGCGGATTGAAGAAGGACTTCTGGTTTGGTGCAATTACATTGGCGTCGTCTGTGGGAATCGAATAAAAAGCTTTATTTCTATGTTGATCCGGTTGATTAAAGGGAAGAGAAGATGAGTGAAAAGCCCATGGCCTATTCTTTTGAGTTGTAGAAGTAGATCTGATGAATTTGCCTATTCTTTTGAGTTGCAGAAATAAATCTAATGAATTTACCTATTCTTTTGAGTTGCAAAAGTAGATCGGATGAATTTGCCTATTCTTTTGAGTTGCAGAAGTAGATCTGATGAATTTACAGAGTGAGTTTGTTCGCCTGTGAAAAAGAGAAGTTTTCACAAAATAGATTTGATAAATTTACAAAATGGGTTTATTCGCTCGTAAAGAAAAAAAGCTTTCACAAGAAGATAAACAGGTGAGTAGTTTGCACAATTGTCGAGGTTCTATTTAATAAAATAAAAAGTACGTATGGTACAATGTTAGCAATAAATATTTAAGAAGGAAAAAAAAAGGTGTCGGCAAAGCACAAAACCCAAGGCAAGTCAAAGTAGTCAAAAAAAAAAAAAGAAAAAAAAAGGGTCAAATCTCACAAATGTGGAGTTGGGGGAGATGGCACTCAACAAAGACGGTGGAGCCATCAATTGGTTCCCCAGCCACATGGCTGCCACCACCTGCGCCATCCGCCAACGCCTTAAGCCTTCCGACCTTGTCATAGTCTGCGATGCTTGAATACCATTGTCCTCTGCTCATGAAGAACTATAGCCTCACCTCTCAGCCAAAAGGCGTGTTATTGCCCTCAATGAGAAGCTGAGTTCGACCTTAATGGCAGCAGCAGAGCATCCCAGGTCGGCAACAGCACAACAACCCAGCTTAGCAGCAAAGCTCAAAATAATGCTCCAGCTCGGCAGAAGCGAGGCAGTTCAGCTCGACAGCAGTAGAGCAACCCAGCTCGGCAGCGGTAAAGTTCAAAGCAATGCTCCAGCTCGGCAGCAGCAGAGCAGCCCAGCTCGGTAGCAGCAAAGCGGCCAAGCACAGCAGCAACAAAGCAGTTCAGCTCGGCAACAGAACAACAGCCAAGCACGGCAGCAACAAAGCGGCCCAGCTCGCTGCACCAAAACAGTCCAGCTCGGCAGCGGCAAACCTCAACAGAAGCAAGGCAGCCCAGCTCGGCAGCAGCCAAGTAACCCAGCTCGACAGTCGCAAAGCAGTCTCTCAGCACGGCGGCATGCACCGAGCAAATTTGTAATGAAGCTCGTTGAAGAAGACGCGAGCAATCAACATAATATGATGATGGTTAGCCCATACTTGCAACAAATTGACAACACTCTATGAAACCACTGGGAAGACGCGAGTTCCAACCACAAGCACCTTCTTTGGGCAGTAAACCATTTGAGTTTGGTTACCACTTTGTGATTATTAGGGAGATAATCTTAATCTTTTATTATTTCACTATATTTCTTATATATTGTTTTATTTTCTTTTGCGGTAAAGCAAGGTGGAATCTCCCTCTATTTTGAATTTGTTTTTGCAGAATCCAAGGGATAAGTCTTGACTAGGCAGTTTGCCAATAACAAATTAAATCTCTCCAATCAGCTGTTAGGGAGCAAAAGACTATGGTTCCAATGACAGAAAATGCTGATGGTAGTGTTGGAGATGGAAGCTCTGGAGGTACTGGACACCACCCTTCAAGATGACAGTTAAACCACTACCGGGAACACACATGCTGCTCTGAGAAGCCAGTAGTCACATCTCATGCTCAGTTGAGAGCAGAGGCATTCAACCGCCCACGTAGCATCACCGAACCATTTGGAGGCTTGAAAAATTTGCCAATAAAGCTGTGAATAATGAGCTGTAATGAGCAAGCCATTTGGAGTTATTATCCCGTGGAAATTTGACAATAACGAGCTGTAAAGTCCCTGCTGCAACACGAGCTGGGAATTGCAGGAGCATGAGAAGCGAACTGCAAGAACATGAGCTGCGAGCTGCTGAGTTCAAAAGCACGAGTTGCCGAGCTCACAAGCACGATGCAGAACTCAGGCAAGATCTTTTGAGCTGCTGAGCACGAGTTGTATAGCACAAGCTGTCAAGCACGAGCTGCAGAGCTCAAACACGAGCTACCGAGCTCAAACACAAGCTGCAGAGGTTGAGCACGAAGTGCAGGGGTTGAGAATGAGCTACAAAGCTCAAACACAAGCTACATAGCTCAACCACGAACTGTAGAGGTCAAACACTTAACTGATAAGGTCAGCCACGAGCTGCAGAGGCCAAGCATGAAGTGCAGAACTTGAACACGAGGTGCAGAAGACGAGCATGAGTTGAAAGATATGCAGCACGAGCTGCAAGGTGTCAACACACTCAACAAGGTGCCGACACTTTTCCTGCATTTGTCCTGAAGAGTCCATGTCGGGTTTTTGTCCTTCTCTGCAAATTTTGTTAACGGTAAAATTACAGTCTCGACCCCTTACTTTTAGATTCTGCATAATTTGATCCTCAAATTTCATATCTTTGCAATTTATTCTTAAAAATTATGACCTCTTCTAATTAAATACTTTTCTACATAGAATGAATGTTATATACAATTACGTAAATTTTCATACAACTCATTCAAATATCAATAATATCAAGGCATAGATTCTACATTAATATGTATATAAATTTAATTCATTAGTCATGTATTGCTTTGAAAATTAAAAAAAGATGAACTCACAATCTTTTTCTCTTATTTATTTTACACAATATATTTTCTTGATTATAAGACTGGATGCTTTAATTTTTCCTCTTTTCAAGTCCTTGGGATACAGGTTGTCAAGAAAGCAATTGAGCTCCACAGCAAAGTAAAGCTTTGGTCCAAGCTTGGTCCAATCTTATTAAAATTAATTATTAATTGCTTTCCACATTCTTTACATTCATTCCACATTTTTCCATTCATTCTACACTTGTTTTTGCATTCATAATATCATTTTGCCATCTCATTTTTTATAT